ATCATCTACACTTCCATTTAACCTTCATCATATCTAATCCCTTAAACTCAATCCTTTTCATTTCTTTGTTCCATTATTCATTTATTCATTCCAAATTGAAATCTCCTTATACATAAATCATATATTTCCTTTCATATTCATATACTATTATCCTATCACCTATACTCATCTCTGTGTACCAATCTTCATTGCATCCTCGTAACCTTGATAACCCAATTTACTTATATAGAACTTCATTCTTTACCATCTCTTATACTTGTATTTTCCTTCTTTACAGCTCCATACAATTACTTTTCTCCTTGTCTACATCATAGTTATCCGATCAGAATACACAACTTTAACAAACTTTTCAAACTTTCAAACTTTATCCTTTCTTCCAATCTTATAACTCTATCACCTTTATTCTGACAGCTAGTTAATAACATCTATCCAATCTAGGCACAAGCCCTAGTCAACCCATCATATACATCCTTTCCAATCGAAATTATTTAAAAAAATAGTTTACTTAACTTATCAATTTCACCTCTATCCTCATACATCCTGTAATTTCCGTTGCTCAAACTCAACATTCTGACTTTCTTTGTCTTATAATCTGATCATCGATATACTCATTCTTAAACTCTTCTTATCAATCCTCAGCTTTACTCAAATATACAAATCCTTACTTCATTTTCCTTTACTATACCACATTACTATGATCCAAATATACAACTGTATCCAGATCTATTTCATATTTGGTTATCATATCCTGACAATATCTTATAATCTTATAATTTCAGTACATTTTTATCACGTATTCTGGTTAGCCAATGCTAACTCTTTCCGTCTTAACCGCAAACCCTTATCATATAAACACTCTTGCTTATACACAATGTTATCCCTTCGTTTCGAACTCATAAGCTCCGACTTTATACTTTTTATACACTTGTCATTGATACCCTTATTCTTGAACTCTTCTACCAATTCTCACTACAGCATTTAATCTTTTAACGCTCTTATGGTGACACTTGTTCACCATATTCTATCGTATCCATGAAATAATAAAAATACTTCATATCACTTTTCTGATTCAAACATGTGAAAACTTTCTATCACTATTCTAATATGATTTCAACTTTCTAAAATCAGTCTTTGATCTTATGAGGCATTTCTTGAGGTGTTCGCTCTTTCTTATGCCTGGCCAGGGTAGATGAATTGCTACTACCATCAGGTTTACCCCTCGCTTTCTTTGAAATTCTAATAATCAAATTTCTACTATATTAAACTAATCTTATTCTATTAGCAAGACAACATACTCTTTACACTATCAGATCAGAAATTTTTTTCACTCTGTGTTGGCATGTACACATTTTATGACACTTTGGACTTCGGTTTATGCCGAGAATCGGCTAAATATTAGCTCTGATACCATTAAATATAACACCCTCAGACCTGTACCTGACTCGAATACGAGTCTGAGGTGTCACATTGACTTTTCAAACTTTGACTCTTAACAAAATTCAAATAAAATTTAAAACTTTCATTAAAATAAAAGCGGTTTATTTACATATATTGACCAAAATAATCAAAATCGATCAGAGCATATTCAACTCAATCAATTAGTACATTCTAACTATATTCAAATTAACCAAACACTTTTAAATCATCTATTTTCTGATCTAAAATTTTGTAAGGGATATGCTGACCTGTCTTGCTCTTCTTCGCTTCTCTTCTCGCTTCTTTAACCTACGTGTGAAACAATCACATGCTAAGTCATTAACTTAGAGAGGCATTAAACGTATAAAGGTAACTCTAACTACTTAACCATGCATGTACATATCATATATGTTATCGCACACAACAATATAACATCACATATAATAAACTATGCCCATATACACATCATTCATTATTTCCATCATTAACTTTATTTTACTATCAATATAATTATCAATCATATCTTGTAATCATATCCTTTTTATGCCTAACATTTTTAACCAACATGACTCATTTAACTACATAATACACCAATCGTCATTTAAATCGTATAATACAATTCATTTCACCAAAAACATATACATCAAATATCATATATTTATTAATATCTCTTTGTTAGCCCATGTAATCTGTGAGAACTATAGATATGTGAGTCTATAGAGGTTGTGCACTAATGCTGTCACCACAGCTCCGATAAATGCACCGAAGTGCCACGTAGAGTTGCACCGTAGTGGCGAGTAGAATTGCACCGAAGTGCCATATAAAATGTCCCTAAGGACCACGTAGAAAATTCCTTAAGAATCATATACATATTCCAAGGACCAAGTATGTGTCTCAAAGGACCTCATAAATGTTCCAAAGGATACATATATGTCCTGAAGGACCGCGTAGACCCTCGACTCTTGGCATGCCAACTATATCCCTAGCTCTCATGACACATAACATGGGCATTATCTTTTATATCCTTTTACATATTCATGTAAACATATCACATATTCATATAAACTCATAGCTTCATTCACATATACATGTAATCATGTAGTTCATGTCAATTCTCATGTAATTTCATATTCCTATATCACATGGCTTATCATACTTCTCATGTGTTCCTATAAACATGTCATATCCTATTATTTATATCTTTTCATATAGTTTATGTTTTAATCTCTTATATTCACATAATTCAATATCAATGAACTTGGTTCACTTTCTCATATCATCATACCTGCATATAATCTTATATGTCTTATCACTACCATATAAACTCACACATGTAGTCATATACTTATATCACATAATAATTCCACTTGTATATATCTTATGTCCATTTCCCTACTCAAATCATATAACACCTATATCCTTCTTATAGGATTTTATAGTACTTCATTTTATAACTCCTATATCATAAACTCCTTTAAATATATATATATATCCTTCTTCTAAGGCTTATCCTATAACTTCGTATCATCATCTACATTCATGTCCCCTAATTTATATAATATTCATATAGTCTCCTAATTCATTATTTTATGATTTCTATTTTTATTATCTAAAATCTTCTCTGACTTTTCCTTTAATACCATACGTCTATTATACTAGTTTCCTCTAAACTTAACTCATGTAATTTATATCTTGTTATCATATAATTCATTTACTAATTTATATGATTCATAATTTTATAACTTATTTTACATGTTCATACAACCTTTTCGTATAGCTTCATAGTTTAGTATCACACAACACACATATCATGGACACTTAACTTGTATCATATAAACATGTACTCTCATGATTAATATTCATATACTTAACATATAACCATATGCATGTATCTATGTCCACAAAGAAATCGTATCATTGTGACAATTTTATTCATGAACTCATGCAATCTAATAGTGCAAATAGACTTATCAAAAGTCTAGTTTCCATGTAGAAATACATATATTCTATGAGTATGCACTCACCTTGGCCTCACTAAGTTTCGATCCTCTTTTATGATTTCCTTTCTTTCGATCGAATCTTAACTTGATGATCATACCGGAACTTGTTTGTGTTTGATATCTACATAATCATACATTGATACATCTTAGTATCCAATTAATATACTCTAATCTATCATTTCTTAGACCAAAATAAAGGTTTATTTCTATTTCCCCTTGAAGTGCATCGATGCATTCTACAGTGTATCGATGCATTCTACAGTGTATCGATGCATCCCTTAACATGTGCATCGTTACACTCCTTATGCATCGATGCACTAATTGCATTCAATGTTTCCATTTTTAAGGGGTGAACAATTTCTGGAAATTTTCCCTTGATGCATCGGTACATGATGAATGTGTACCGATGTACACTAGCCCATAATTCCAAATTATTCCCGAAAATCCACTCTTTTCAGCTTAATTACTTCATATATCATCCCCATTTCTTATTCTTAACTTACATACTCATATTCAAACTAATATCTATTCATTAATCACCTCTTTAACATCAAAATCCTATTCTCCATATGTAATTCAAGAATTACACTAAATTTTCAACATGTTCCAAATTCAATTCTATTGCTTCTAACTTCTTAATTAGACACTTGACAAGTCAAATTCATCCTTAGAACTTCAGAAACCTTTTTATAATAAAAGTTCATTTATAAACTCTTAATAGAAATTCCTTTCTAATTCTCTCTTCTTGGTGTTTAAACTTATATAAGCTTTCCTTAAGCTTATATAACCCCCAAAGACTCAAATCCAACTTAAAAATTCAAGAAATCAATAGCTAAATCAAACTTACCTTTGCTCTTGGCTTCCACGTGAAGAAGAAGAAAGGAGAAAAAGAGAACTCATGGAGAAATCTCTCCCTTTTCCACATGGTTCCCTTTTCTTATAAAGGAAGAATAAAAATCTTACTTGTCAATTGACCATTTTACCCTTTAATTCATTCCATAATTACTAAATAACCTTCATTATATATTTCCAATAAATCATTGAACTATTCAATTATCCTACTTTAATCACCAATTTCTGAAAATTTTCAATCTAGTCACTAACCCGATAATGAGGATGTTACAATCAAGCTTCGGATCCGTAAAGCAGCATATCTCCGCGCAAAGTTCAGATCAGAAATAATTTGTAAAGAATGTATTGTCATATAATTTAGTATCTTGGCATGTAACTAAGTCATTATGTATATGAACGCTCTGATAGAGTCTGTTAAGGCTTTAAACAGGTTTATGTAAAAGAATTACTTTATAGAATAGAAGTTTTAAATTTTCTATGGTTTTTATAAAAGTATATGCTTTGACTGGTCAATGTGACACCTCAGACTCGTATCCGGGTCGGGTACGGGTTGGGGGTGTTACAAATTGTGCAACACATATACACATTATTTTCAAGCTCTATTAAAAAAATGAAAGATTTTAATTGATAATGTTAAAAAAATTACAATAAAATCTTTATGTAATGCTCGATGGGAGAGTCGAATAAAAAGTGCTAAAGCTATTAGATTTCAAGCACCTCAAATAAAATTAGTTTTGTTGGCATTGTATAATTTTAGTGGTGAATATGCCAATACAAAAAGTGAAATAGAAAGTTTAGCTAATTCTCTTGCGAGTTTGAGTTCTTACTTAGCTTGGTGATTTGCTATGAGATTTTATTTACCATTAATAAGGTAAGTAGAAATTGCAATCTAAATCTATGTGCATTGGAAATACAATTAGTGAAGTATAAAGAGTAATGTTATTCTTTGATAAATATATAAATGAAATATTTGAGTCTTTCATGGATATTGTCAAAAGCATGACATTTGATATGAATATAGAACCAACACTTTCAACAAAACGTCATGTGTTTAGAAAAAGAAAATTTGATGAGATGATAATGAAGAAAAAGTACAATCACCCGAATAATCTTTTAGAGTTAATTATTTTCTTGTGATTGTAAATTTAGTTAAAACTTCTTTAAAAAATAGATTTGAACAATTGAAATTATTTGACAATATTTTTAGATTTTTATTTGATTCCAAAAGATTAATATGCTTGGGCAATGATGAATTACGGAAACCTTGCATGGACTTTAAGACTATTTTTTCTCATAATGATTTGTCTGATATTGATGCAGAAGATCTTTTTTCAGAATGAAAGTGTTACAAATGACTTTGCCAAATGAGTTAATGTGAGCATTTGAAATTTTTAAGATTGTCAAAGTTGTAGATTGCTATCCAAATGTTTCAATTACTTACCAAATTCTCTTTAACTATGTCAGTGACAGCTTCATCAGCTGAAAGAAGTTTTTCAAAGTTAAAATTGTTGAAAACCTATTTGAGGTTGTCAATGTCACAAGAAATATTGAATGGTCTAACCATTTATTGAGAAAAATATGTTAGATCATATTGATATATACATATTGTTAGTGATTTTGCATCTATAAATGCTCGCATAAATTGTTTTATGTAATATTTGGGTGTTCAATAAGTTTTCTTGATGTTTTTATAAGAAATTTGATGTATTTATCATATAGTTTGTTGAGTATACTCTTAACTTTTTTTAATATTTATATTTAAAGACCCCATTTTTAAATTTACCCTCAGTCTCCAAAATCTCAAAAATAGGCATGTTAGGAGTAAGGTAAAGCATAAACCTCAACACACACCTAAAAAAGAAAGAAAAAAAAAGATCCAAAATAATAGAGAGGCTGAGCAACCAAAATTATCAAGTATATTTTGATAAGATAATTCATATTAATATTTTTCTAAACTAATTTTTATAGTAAAAGGTAGATGTGGTTAAAATTATATATGTTTGATTTATTGATCGTCTATTTAAATAAAAATAATTGAGTTTTTGAATTTAATTTTAATATTTTATTTGATATTCATTTCTTTTATTTTGTCTCAATTAACTATATATGTTTGTAATAAGAAATTGAATACATAAAGAGAAATTAAAAAAAAGATGTTGTGGTTTAGAAATCTATAACAGTAATAATTCTTTTTGTTTATTTATGAGGGGGACGACGTCAACCATTGATCTAAACTATTATCATCCACTATTTTCTTATGCATTGTTTTTTCATGTTTTCTTATAAAGTTTTTTGTTTTTTATTTTTTTTCTTTTTTAATATACATACATACATACATACATATATATGTATAATATATATATATATATATATATATATATATATATGATATTTTAAGTTATTTTATTTAATAAGTTTTCTTTTCTTTTCATAAAAATGCAAATTTGTCTATTTTTTAGTATATTTCCTTTTTCAAGATTGAATTTGTTTTCACCTCTCTAATTGTTGTTTATTTGATTATTTTGTTGATCTACTCCTATTTGAATCATCGAACTGATTTTCTCGTATAAATAGATATATGCAATCATCAACAATATATCATGCTTAAATTGTAATAAAGTTGATTGTTAACGTACCATTATATTCTATTTTATTATTAATCTAGGGTCTATTTTATTTTAATCTGGGGTGATTACAAGTGATAATATCTATTCTAAGAAATCTCAATTATTTGACAATGAACGCTCAAATATCATGCAATCACTGGTGCTAAAATCCGGAACCTATAAGAATAATATTAATTTATAATATTAATGCATATTACATTATTTATAATATTAAGTTTATTTAAATTTAAGTATAATTTATTATCAGCTCGGGTGATTTTTCCTTGTGCATAAAGTCAGGTGTAACTCAACTTATGAACAATTCTAAAATGTTCACCACCTATCATAATTGTGTTTAAAGTAGTTTGAACAAATACGCGCTATTCTCTTTTTCTAAATTATAATCATTTTAATTTATATCTTTTGAGTAAATTTTGCATGCAGAGCTGAAGAGTCTACGAGTTAGGTAACCTGCCAAAATTCCGTGTATATAAAGCAATGGGGTTTGGCAAAGTTTTCCCAAGCCAAAACCCATAACAAAATTTCATTATGGCTTGTGCTTGTTTTTCCAAGCTGTGTTTGGAGTTGCTTCTCCTTGTGGTTGTATTGGGAAGCAGCAATGCTCAACTTTCAACCAATTTTTACTTAAAATCATGCCCAAACTTGCTTTCCACTGTCAAACCCACTGTCAGCTCTGCTGTTAACAAAGAGGCTCGTATGGGTGCTTCTCTTCTTCTATTATTCTTCCATGATTGCTTTGTCAACCTCCTCCTCCTCCTCCTTCTCATTGAGCTTTATATTATGATTCTTCTTCTTATTGAGCATCTTCTTCTTTTTCTTCTTCTTCTTATTGAGCTTTATATTATGACTCTTCTTCTTATTGAGCTTCTTCTTCTTGTTCTTCTTCTTATTGAACTTTATATTATGGTTCTTCTTATTGAACTTCTTCTTCTTCTTTTCTTCTTCTCATTGAGCTTTATATTATGTTTCTTCTTCTTATTGAGCTTCTTCTTCTTCTTCTTCTACTACTTCTACTTCTTCTCATTGAGTTTTATATTATGATTCTTCTTCTTATTGAGCTTCTTCTTTTTCTCATTGAACTTTATATTATGATTCTTCTTCTTATTGAACTTCTTCTTCTTCTTCTTATTGAGCATCTTCTTCTTGTTCTTGTTCTTCTTCTACTTCTACTTCTTCTCATTGAGCTTTATATTATAATTCTTCTTCTTATTGAGCTTCTTCTTCTTGTTCTTCTTCTTCTCATTGAACTTTATATTATGATTCTTCTTATTGAACTTCTTCTTCTTCTCATTGAGCTTTATATTATGTTTCTTCTTCTTATTGAGCTTCTTCTTCTTCTTCTACTTCTTCTCATTGAGTTTTATATTATGATTCTTCTTCTTATTGAGCTTCTTCTTCTTCTCCTTCTCACTGAGCTTTATATTATGATTCTTCTTCTTATTGAGCTTCTTCTTTTTCTTCTTCTTACTGAGCTTTGTATTATGGTCCTTTTCACCGAGGAGAAAAACGCTAACGCGAATTGTAACTCGGCTCGTGGATTTGACGTCGTCGACAACATCAAGTCAGCAGTTGAGAATGTTTGCCCTGGTGTAGTTTCTTGTGAGGATATCTTGGCTATAGCTGCTAGAGACTGTTGAAATTGTAAGTCCTCAACATACGCACATTTAAGCATCTTAGTTAAAGTTTCAAATAAGCAAGTAATTGGGGAGAATACTCTGTTTGTGATTTGTTGTTGGGAGGACCAACCTGGAATGTGAAACTTGGAAGAAGAGATGCTCGAACAGCTAGCCAGTCCGCGGCTAATAACGGCATTCCTCCGCCGACGTCGAACTTGAACCAGCTCATTTCAAGGTTCAATGCTCTCGGACTTTCAACAGGCGACTTCGTTGTTTTATCCGGCTTGTCCTCTCTTCTACAGCTACACTTTATGTTTGAACTGTTAGCATAAATGGAGCATAAACACAGTGGAAAGGATCGGTCATAATAACTTCCACTGATTTCCTTATGGCATAATCAATATCCTAATGGTGTCAAGTGTGCAGGGTCACGTACAATTGGACAAGCAAGGTGCACATCATTCAGGTCACACACAATTGGACAAGCAAGGTGCACATCATTCAGGCCTGGTATATACAACGAGAACAACATTGACGCTTCCTTTGATCAAACAAGGCAAAGAAACTGCCCGACAGCAACCGGCTCAGGGGACCACAATTTTGCACCACTTGATATCCAAACTCCAACATCTTTTGACAATGATTACTTCCAGAATCTAGTTAATAACAGAGGACTTCTCCACTCCGATCAAAAGTTGTTCAACGGCGGATCCATGGATTCGGTCGTACGCGGTTACGCTAACAACCCAAGCCCCTTCCAACTCGGATTTCGTTTCGGCGATGATCAAGATGGGAGACATTAGTCCCCTCACGGGATCAAGCGGAGAGATCAGGAAGAACTGCAGAACGGTGAACTAATTACATGGGGTTCTTGATGTGGTTTTGCCCATGGGAACTAAAAGAAAATAATAGAACTGGGAATTTTGTTTGTGTCGGTTAAGATTATGATATAGGTTTCGAGTGTTTTTGTGTTTAATTTCTTCCATAATTGTTCAATGGCTTAGGTTTTGTTGCTGAGACACCGTGATGAAAATAGTAATAGAAATATAATTATTCCCATTTATATCCTTCAAGTTAGCTAATCATTTCGGACTAAAATTAATAATTTAAGTACTAAACACGTTAAATTTTTAATAACACAATATTAAAATAAAACAAAAAGTAAGCATTAGATTTGATTTTGAAAAAATTTAAAAATTTAAGTATTAAAATAGACAAAAACTGATAGTTTAAATATTAAACGTATAATTTACCTTTTTTATACAAATACATATATATGCAAATGTAGTTGATCAAATTTGAATTATCTAAGAAGAGCAATATTCTCTTTTATAATTGACTACCTTTAATATATATATATATATATATAATTATTATTATCCAATTTAACAAAAAATATAATTATTATCCGATTTTAAATATTATTCAAATTTATATTTTTAAAATTGATAATTTTTTCAAAAGTATTCCTTTGATCTTTCGGATAAAATCGTACAAATAATGTTATTTGAACACATGTCACTTAGAAAGGCAAGTCAGCCTTGATCATTTAAATTTTATTTTATATATTTAATAAATAAAATATTTAATATATTTAACAAAAAATTTAAATAATTATATCTCAGATAGTAATAATAAAGGTGATAAAAAAACTTTTAGTTCAAAGAGTCCATTCTCACTAAATGCTAAACAAGGCAGCCATACATGATGATATTACCCAGTCGGTCAAATGGATCAAGGCAGAATTAACCAATCACAATTCACAACAACAATATTGTTAAAGTTATTTATTTAATTTTAGGGATAATTACCTCATTCAACTATACTCAATTCTCAGTTTCTTGTATAATGTTTAAATTTTTTTGATTTCATACATGATGTTTTCTACCGTTAACGGGATCACCCATTTCCGTCACGGAATGTGACGTGGCACTTTAAAAAATTAATTAAAAAAATATTTTTTAAGTGTCACATGACATTTTGTCAGGGTTCCACGTCACCTTCCGTGACGGAAATGGGTGAACCCGTTAACAATAAAAACATCATGTATGAAATTGAGAATTTTTAAACATTATGTATAAAAATGGGAATTGTGTATACTTCATGTATGAATGTGGTAATTAACCCTTTATTTTAAACATAGTATAAGATTTTAGTTATTTATTAGGTCAAATTTTACTAGAAATTCATTTACATTTTTTGTTGTTGATTTAGTCCTTTATAATTTCGTCAGTGAGCTTTGTGCCTAGCCTAGTCGATGCCTGGTTTCCACATCCAGGCTGCTGTCCTATGCTGTGAATTAGAGTAGTTTTTGGCTGTTTGGTGTTTGGTAAGTCTTGTTAATGATAGTGTGTTTGTGTTTGTAATTCTTCGGTTTGTCATCGGATTTGGACATTCTCTTTCTTCCATTTAGATTTATGGAGGTTTTTTAACGAGGCCTATCCCCATAGATTGTATGAGCTTATTCATTAATCATACAATTTTCCCTTTAAAAATATAAATAAATCATAGCATAGAATATTGAACATGGGATAAAAAATGCATAACATTAATTTTTTTCGATAGAAATCACTAATTTTATTTAAAATAGAAAATATCATAAATTACAATAAAAAAAATTTATAATAATAAATTAAGAACATAATTAGGAAAATTTCCTATAATCATTAAAACAAAATTAGTAACTTAAGATCACATAAGGACCATACAAGGAAAGATTAAAATCTAACCAAGAAAACTCGAACAAATATAGATACAAATAGATCTGATCGCATTGACAAACGAATCACAAAAAGAGATCATGCTACTAAAAGACCACCGACAAGCCGCAAATCAGACTCGAGCAACGTGAAAATCTATCTACAAATGCATAACATGTATCCAAATCAAATTCGATGGTCCAAAGCATATAAGATCAACAATATAACAGATAAACGTCATCTTGATCAGTCGTTGCGATATTAAATCAATCCTTAAAAAAATATTAGTGAAAACAACGACCAAATAATCGAAAAACGTATTAAAAGGCAAAAGAAAATGTGTCATAAAGGTAAATGAAAACGTGTCATATAATATTGAAATTAAAAAAATAAAAGAAAATAAAGATATAATATAAAAAAATAAAATAACAATAAAAAATACAGACGATTGGAAACCAACGTTAACTTTTTAAATATTAATATTATGATTTGTTTCATACACTTGATCAATGATTTATTTAAGCACATTAATTTAGTTTAATGGTTATTTAGTATCTAACGAATATGTATATTAGCATCTTTTCTCCATGAATCGATAATAATGATAATATGCAGCAGTGATCGAAGCAAGGCTAGGACTTGTCTCCATCACTATCGACGACGACATTGTTTTCCTATCACTGTCGTACTCGTTGAGGATGATTCCGATCAACTAAATATTAATATGGAGAGTGAAATTAGAGATTTGAAGATTTTAAGTTGTTTTGGTATTTTATAAAAAGTTGAAGTTTTTTAAATAAAATATTTTTAAGTTTTTTTAAATAAAGTTTTATAAACGTGACACATTAAATAATATATTTTTTAACGTTTGTTACAATGTATACAGTTAAAATATAACTTTTGTAACGTTAAACACTTAAATTGACACTATAATTATATGAATCCATTGATAAAATATTTGTAATTGATCTAGTCACGAACAATACTCCAAGTCTCCAACTATATTATTATATCATAATTTATATTTTTTATAAATTTAAATAATTTATTATATTTTTAGTATTTTAAAAAAAGCTTAACAACTCTTTCAAATTATAGAACAATTCTGTAATATTTTTTATAATTTTTAAATGATTTTGTATTTTTTAAAAAATTAATGTTTTATAATTTTAATAATTTTAAATTTTTTAAAAAAGACTGTGTGATAGCACTACAGTATATCATGTGAGAGTAATAATTCTTAACCGTAAGATTCAATGGTCAAAATTGATCAATTGACTGGATTGATATAATTTTTTAGTTATAATACTTAATTTATTTAATATTTCAGTACAAAAGCTTAATTGGAAGTAAAAAAAAAATTCAAAAACTAAATTAAATTTTTTGTCTTAAAACTTTAGAGGTTTTGCACCTTAAACCTAGAATTTATCAAGTGATAAATTTGGAGAGATGATAAGTAATAATAATATACAGTAGAACATACGAAGACATGATTCTTTTAACTACAAGTGTAAGTTTTATTTTTTTATTGTATTATCTAAATTCTGGATGGTTTATTCTTTTTTTAATATTCAAACATTTTTATTGAAATTGATTTTACAACTTAAGACATCAATTGACTTACAACGAATTTTCAGACGGGATACAGACATTTTTAAGGTAGAGTGTCTTCTTGAAACATGATTGGTTGTTAGTTACATTTCTAACTCATCTTGAAATACCTCAATCGGACATCGAAAACTCAATATATGTTTAAATGAAGACAACGCGCGAAGAAAACTGAACATGAGTTCAAAATGAGAATTTTGATTTATTACAAATTTCAATTATTTTATTGATTATTTGTAATAAATCAACCTTAGACTTTCTATTGTTTAGTTTAGGTCATTTAGGATCTTATTTGTTATTTTTTAAAAATATTCTTAGTAAATATATCTAACATTAATGGGAAAAAATACTAGATTTTAAGGTTTTTGAAGCCTATAAGTAAATAATTTTCTTATGTAAATAGGGGAGGAAAAAGAGCAACCCAAAGCACTGTAGTCCTAAAACAAGAGCAATAAAAGAGAATTTTTGTTTAAAGTGCTTCAATCTTTTTTATTTATTTATTTATTTTTCTATTTTTTGTGCTTCTTGTTTTAGTCAATCTCAACCTTGTTTTTGTTTAAAAATTCTGTCGGATGAGAGAAACCAATGAATAAGGAAAATATTTTCGAATAGATCTTCCTAGTCTAGCTTCCCCAAAGTTTCTTAGTGGAAACCGACAGTGAATCTTAAAAGAGAAAAAAATTGAATTATATTTCAAAAATTTAACTTGTATAGTCAACCCAAGGATTTAACCCGAATCTCCTAGGGGACTTGTATGGTTTATTAGGTAGGACAATATTGTAATATTTGATTCTAAAATTATTGTGTATAAAAAACAGGAATTTGAATCGATCATCCATGATATTCATACTAAATGAATGATTATAAGTGAGTCCGAAAAGTTACCACTGCTTGGAATGATTTCAAGAACTACTTCAAGTGTAAGAGAAATAAAACGACAATGGAAGGTTTGATT